CCGGCTTTGTAGGGATGCGAGGTCAATGGTCTAACGACTACGGCATGCACGACTATGAGTATGAGTACACCCCCCCCCCCCCCCCCAATTCTTGCTCACTGGTGGGCCCGTGTATGTAAAAACTCCCGCTATCGCTGCGGCATTTTTTAAAAAAAGTCCTACGACGCAGGCGAGAACCTACACCATAATGCCCACCACCGGAAGCAACACTTTAGGACCCACGAGTTTGCCGCGCCTACGTACCCCCCCACGCGCCCGCGGCACCTCCTTGGATGACGTGCTGTCCTCCCCCACGGCCGTCCCGTTGTTTCGTGGTGGTTTTCCTCTTGGACGATCCTCTCTGCCTCTGGACCGGGGGAGTTTGTACTTCATGGAGAGAAGCGCAGTCTTGAGGCGCTAAAGACAGGCCCTGGCCGGGGTTTTCGCCGTGCCACAGTTCCCCATTCAGTCTTGATTGTTGGAAGTTCTCTGGGGCACAGGAGGTTGCGCTGTTGAACGCCGCGGACGGGAGATCTAGGGAAGCCTGCCCCAGCCCGCGACAAGGTGCGTTGCTCAGGGGTTGAAACGGCGACGCCCCAACCACTCCGCCACGAGGTGCGTTGCTCAGGGGTTGAAACAGCGACCCCCCCCCCACCCCGCCACCAGGTGCGTTGCTCAGGGACTGAAACGGCGACCCCCCCCCCCCCCCCCCGCTGATGCTAGTGGCCGGCAGCCCCACGCCGGGGTTTCCAGCGCCCACGGCTGAGACGCCAGCGCCCCCTCCCCCCCCTCCCTCGCTGGTGGCGCTAGCCCCGTCCGGTTGTTGCAACGGCGGAAGCCCCCCACCAGGGCTTGGAACGCCCGCCGCTGAAAGTACAGCGCCCGCCCGTCCTCTCCCACCTCTTCCTCCGCGTCTCCCGCGCACAGAACGCCCGCCCGGCCTCGTTTCCTCCGGCGGTTGGGTTCCATTCGTAGGCCTTGCAACGACCCCCTTGAACACCCGGCTCGTGGACGCTTCGTGTTGCGACCTCAACTCGACGTCGACCATCTGGCGCGCTTGGATCTTGAGGTTCTCCAGGACGCGTGTAATGGCGGGGATGCTGTCGATGGTTGATGTGATACTTGCGAGCTCCTTCCCGAAGGCGCAGCAGCTGGCCCATGCGCTAGATCTCACCGTGGCTTTGGAGCAGGTAAAAACGCTGGGATCCGCAGGTGCGGCCGGAAGCTCTCCCGGAAGCCCCGCACCTGCCGTCGCAAGGTGGCGCCCGAAACGCCGCTCGGCGCGGTAGCAGGTGAGGCGTCATGGTTCACGCCAGCGGTTTGCGATAGATGCTCCGGTGAAGCCGACGTCCCCGTCTTTCAAGGCCCGGAGGGCATGCCGGCAGCCGAGGCCGTCGGTTGGGATCCTCAGGCACGTGCACAGGAAGAAGCCGTCGGGTCCAAGGGCGACGAGGTGACAGTACTGGGTTTGGGACCCAAACGTGTTGGTGACGCGCACGAGTCGGTCGACAACTTGGTCCCGCAGCAACTCCGCGAAGAACTTGATGGAGGTCCGTGTGGTGAGGGTGATATCGGCGCCTTCTTCGCCAGTGCCGTAAAGCAGCCCCGCTCCAGCCGGGTTCGCCCCCAAGTCGGCCAGCAGGCGTTGAACGTTGTCGTTACCAGTCGCGAGGGTGTGGGCCGTGTACCCCATAGCCGCCAGGGCCTCGTCCGACATGTCCTGCCGGTCAAGGAAAAACGGCGCATGAAAGAAGGGGTACACGGGAAAGGGAGCGTGAGGATAAAGGCTTGCTATTTCAGGAGCCTTCACCCACGTTTGTCGAACAGTGCCATGCTATGGAACCACAGCTATTAATACGGCGCTCCGACAGCAGAACGAACAACTAGGGCAGGGGGGCGGATTCAACGTCGTGCGACACTCCAAACATTCTCCGGGAAATGAAAGCAAACCTCACCTTCATAGCGTACGCGCTGCACTCCGCCTGGCGCATGCCGTTGTGGACGAAGTCGAAATGTTGAAGCCAGTCGGCCTTCGTTCTCTCAAACGCCGATTGAGTCGGGATGCGCACGCGTTGGACCGGCCCCCCGGTGTTTTGACAACAAACAGCACAACAAGCACGCGGTTCGAAGGTGCCAAGTACAGGTAAGAGTCAGGAAAACGTTGTGGAAAAAAGGCCCTGTATGAACATGGTGGGGGTGTTGGGTTCACGTTTCAAGCGAGGGTCTGCAATGCGACAAGTAACGTCACACAAAAAAAAATGTGCGCCCCTCCGTTTCGCTCTACACCCTGTAACGCGCAACAAAAACAATGGAACGCCATCAACATCTTGGTACCCCTACAATGTCGGCGGCAATGCCGCGCAGCCAGCTGGATTCCCCCCCCGCCCCCCGCCCCCCGCCGATTACAACGCAGACATGAAACGAGTTAAGGGAACACTGGGCCCATGATACTGTCGTGGCCCCGGCCTTCCAGAGCATGAGAACAACTGCAACCCAGAAACAAAAACTATACAAAGGGAGAGAGGAAATAAGGCAGCCGGAAGTCAACGACAACAACATATCGTGGGAAAGGTGTTATTTCGGCAGGCAGGCAGGCAGGAACCCTTTGCCTCCCACGATCTTCCCCTGCTGTCGATATTGACGCAACGGAGACAACAGGTTCGAAAAGCACCCCACAAGTTAACAGTCGCCCACCTTGTCGTCTTGTTGGCGTCTGACTGCACTTTCTTGCTGATGGCCCGGTGTACGTCGACCATAGTCCCCGACCGTTGCATCGCCGGCTTCAAAGCGCTGTTCGTGGATTCCACTCGCTGCGTGGAGGTGATGCCGAGCGTGGGGAGCCCTGGGTGCCCGAACTTCGCCCACCGGTGTACCCACCTGTCAAATGCGCCGGAACGGCTCCAACTTAGTGGGTGCGCACAGCGAGAGCAGATTGCTACCCGAGTTATACGCAAACTCAAACAACCCGACCCCCCCCTTGGCCGCGGCTATCTCCCCCACATCACGGAGCGTGAACGCACAGAGAAGCTGTAAATACAACTTCATCCGTAATCAACCCCAGCAAAAGTGTCCGAGGAGATTCCTAACCCCGGTGTATCCCTAGCTCGGCTGTTGACATGCCAGGCAGTGCTTACTTGGGGCCAAACACGGAGTCCGCCATGTACGTGTACATGTCGCTGCCCGGGGCCAGCAGATTGAAGACGTCCTGCTTCGCCTGAAGGAACAGCTGGGACACAGCAAGTAGAGCGGAGGAGGTGTACGGGTGGAGAAAATCGGCGGAAAATCGGTCAGGGGTCGGGGGGGGGGGGGGG